CTCACTGTCTCACGGCAACACTGTAATGAAAAAGCAGATATCGTCACACGACAAAATTATTACACGACATAATATTTTAGGTGAAAAGTTCTTTAGCAGTGTTGAGCGATTTTTGGTAGGGGAAAAATTAATGGGTTGGCGTCACCCGTGACCTCGACATGCCCGTAATGCGCAAGCGCAATACGTCATGAGCACGTTTACTACACATTGCGTAGCCTATGTACATGTATATATTATTGAGTTTTCACTTCTGTCGGCAGTCCTTGTATTATTCCCTCTATATAGCCTAGTCCTTGTATACCCTCTGTATTATTTACGTAACAAACGAGCGTACAGTGCACCTGATGGTAAATGGATACTGTGGCCTATACATCATCCCCGGTTAGGAATCAAAATGCTTTGTCACCCCTGAGAATTTATAAGATGGTTGCGTAATAATCTTATCTCTAAAATGGGTATTTTGTTCTCGTCAATCTCCTCATGAAAAACAGCAGCATTGCGCTTGTACTCGTATAATGTAAAAGTCGGGTCCTTACTTTATCGAGCAGCTGTACTCTATAAATGACTACGTAGAAGCTATGACCTGGAGTCATTACTCCATCTAAACCGCCCTACACTTAACACGTAAGATACCACACGAGAACTCTTATGTGTCGATTTTTTTTTATAGGATAAGGGTGACAAACGAGCACACAGTCCACCTGATGGTAAGTAGTTGCTGCGGCCCATAGACATCTACATCTATCCTCTGTTACAAATCAAAATGTAGATGCGTTGTCACCCGTGAGGACTAAGATGGAATGCCTCCTTTCCAGTAAAAAGGGCCTCCGGCCACCTGCACTCACCAAGCGAAACGCAGAGGTAAAGCTCTACTTCACGCTGGTTTTCTGTGAGGTCGTGGTACTACCCCGGTTCGAGCCGGCCCATCCGTGCGACAGCAAAAGCTGCCGCGTGGCTCTACCACTGTTTGAATTACGACTACGATTGTCGGTTGTTTGTGCATTAACCTCATGCATTGCCACTTCAGGCGACCAACCCTGGTCTAACATAGCTCTTTGGTATTGAGTTTTATAACAAAGTATACAATAATTATTAAAAAGTATTTAGCTAACAATCTTTGAGCCCTTATAACAATGGAAACAGATTCAAACACAATATATTTCACTTGGTATGCGACGCACGCATCTCTTCACGTGTACGTTATAAATGATTATTATAGGCCGCGTCTGTCGAGTGAGCCTAATGAAACGTGTACCAGATTAACATTGCCTATTGATGTTGGCAGCTAATGGAATTATACTTTAGAGCCAACGGGAACAAAGAACGGGAATCGGCTTAAGTATTTACTGTTGCGTGCATCCTACATGTTGGAAATGAGTAATTTTTCAATAAAGTTGTGCTTTTTTTACGGACTGATTTTTACGCTTGTAATCATAGAGAATTTGTATTCTAGATTGTTTGTATGAATATAGTAAGTACTTAGGCGTTATCTTTGCTTGACGTTATAAAAACATATAATATTCTCAGAGATTGAAAAAAAAAATTGCAGGTCATAAAATACTCATCTGTGCGAGATTCGAACTCGTAGCCTACAGCTCTGCAGTCGAGTTGACCAGAGTCATGCAAAGACGAGCTACGTAATGCAAAAATAATTTCAAGCTCATTAAAATGCAAATTCTACGAAATCAGCTATTACTGATCTAGACTTAAAAAGATCACTAATATGTAAAAAAGTACATTTTGTGGGTTCCTTTCTGCTTATTTCTGCCTCTATAGAAGAAGAATAGAATAGAATAGAACTCCTATTCCATTCTTATTAAGCTTCCATTCATAGATGAAGAAGAAAGACCCTGTGACTAAATTGGTATTTGTTATTTTGGCAATGTCTAAAGGCTTGAAAAGGTTATCGTTTCATAAATTCTATATCTAAATATGCAAAATTCCAGGAAATATACAAAATTTTACCTGCTCAAACTTCAAAAACTTTATTAAACAAAGTCTGTAATAACCCCTGGGAATGAGGTGATCGCTACCAAGCTATTTCTAATTTGTTTTATGTGGTTAATTGTGTAACATACATGATTGTTAGCTGTTATTTAAAAAAAGTCCCGCTGGGTTTTTTGCTCGTTCTTCCCATGACAGAGTTTTTTTTTCGAACCAGTGGTAATTAAACAAAAGATTGACTTTCAATAAGTATTATTTATAATCTATATTGAATAAAAAAGTTTCTGTTTCTGTTTTTGTTTCTAAGCATGTAGATTTTATGACACCCAAAACAACATAACTGCGTTAATAATATATTGAGGATAGAATATTCGTTAGGAATAACTACAAAAACTTTGAGACTCATATTACAAGGAAAAATATTTTAGATGTATTAAATGTAGTCAGGCCATTAATAAAATATGCAATATTAATCTCAAAAACGTGCGATAAATAACTAAAGACATTAATATTTCTTGTTTAAATTGTTTGATCTGTATTTTAACGGGAGCTGATGAAATTAATTGAAATCAAGTGTTACTGACGTGTTTTATGTTTTATATTAAATACTTCTAAAAGAAAACTGTTTAAAACTGCTGCTGGCTAGCTTATTAGTCGCAATATTTAATAAACCTAGCAAGCTAACAGCATAGCAAAGTGGCGAAGCAATCAGCTTTGTAGCGGTTTCTAACGGTTGCCGTTGAGCAATCAGTTTCAAAATAGGAGGTTCAGATGCCTGGGTGATCAGTAATCAATTGCTGAAAACAGAATTTGAAAATTCAAAACCGTTCTCGAGATAATCGTGGGACAGACGGACAGACGGACAGACATCGTGAAATCAATAAGTAACTTCGCAAGCTTCGCCACTTAATAAGTAGTCGACCCGCCAGCGACTTCGTTATCTTGAATAAATACCGATTCTAAAAATTATTTTACTAATAAAAGCTACTCTATCCCTGAGCGTGTCTAGAGTTTTGAATCAAACTTTTTTGCATACTTTCATTGCACGTACAGCTCAGGGGTGGAATTTTCTGCCGGAGTCTGTGTTTCCTGATGAGCTATAACCTGGGAGTATTTTAAGTCAAGAGTGAATAGGTTATTTATTACCATCAGGTGAGGTAGTGGTCAAACGCGAGCTTGTCAATAATAATAAAAAAGTTATGATACATACTATACTATATTTGCAGTGCTGTTAGTTTCTGGTAGCAGAATATATTGATTTTAAGAAGTTCCCACTCGAAACATACCAACATACAATTTTGCCTGTGAGAACAGCTGATACATGTGCACGTATGTGTACCTATATGTGTGTGTCGATGTATATATATATATATTAGTATAAGGATACATCTAAATATAGTATTAGGATACATTAGATACTGAACCAATTATAGTTTTTACAAACAGAAAGAAAAAGGTGTTATTACTTTGCGTAATTTTTTTTAGGTATATTCATTCATAGTAACATATAAACGAAAGGTCCGGTTCGAATAAAAAGGAATTTACATCTGCACAAACAACATTGATTATGAAATTATTGTTTTTTTTTTGGATAAGGGTTAATACCAACATGCGAATATAATACTCAATCATGTATCGATTCTACCAGTGTATTAATTAAATTTTATAACACATCATTGTTGTTGTCTATACCTATAATAGTTGGACATATTGGCTCGAGGACTTTATTGTAGATATTTATAAGTTCTATAATCATATAGTAAATTAAATTATATTAATAGCAATAGTTTTCGCAGCGCAATGATATATTTTTGATACATTGAATTATAATATTATAATTCCCTTAGGGACCCAATTTTAAAAATAAAATATAGCAAAAATAAAATGTGTTACTCACTGATAATGTAATTTTCTATAGGTGAAAGAATTTTTTTAATCGGTTTAGTATTTTTTTTATTTGATAGAGTAACAAACGATCACACAGTTCACCTGATGGTAAGTGGTTGCTGTGACCCATAGACATCTACATTTATCCTCAATAAAGAATCAAAATGCAGATGCGTTGTCACACGTGACGACTAAGATGGAATGCCTCTTTTCCAGTAAAATGGGTCTCCGGTTCTTTACACTCACCATACGAAACACAGCAGTGTTCAGCTGCTATTTTACGCTGGTATTCTGTGAGAGCGTGGTCCTTCCCCGGTCGAGCCGACCCATTCGTGCTACAACTATACTACTAATATAGCTGCAGAATGGCTCTACCACGTATAAGTAGTTTTAGAGTTTATCCATTACAGACAATAATTCAAAAAAAAACTTTTCTCTTTATAATATTGGGGAATTAAAATCCGCTTAGTAGCTAAAGAGTTTATCAATTCAAGTACTCAGACCAAAAAAGAAAAATAGATGGTGCATTCTGTATTTTTCAAGTGAAGCTGAAACCATGCTCAACTTCTTGAGACGCACTTACATACATATCTTCCTTAATTCTGTTTTTAACGGCCCATTAAAGTCGACCGCTGAACGAACACATATGCACCATACTTTGTTGTTCGTTGCAAATTATTTTAGGTGCATATGTGTGTATGACTGCGTGTCTTTACAATGGTTTTGTGTTGGTTTGGCGGTACTTGAAATGTTCGCAGCACTCCTCGTATCTGAAAAAGGCCTATGAATAGCAGATTATAATGTTCTTAATTTTTTTGAAGCCTCTCAAGTTTATTGATTAAGGTATCAGGCAAACTTACACAGTACGCGAGTATTGATTGATTTGCTCTTAGCGATTTTGATCTTAGCTGACATGAATAAAATAGAAAACTGCGAATTGAGTGGTGATTTTCCACGTTATTAACGGCAATAAACGTTGAGCAGAAACCTCTAAGTCTGAGAAACCAAATTCGAGGGCATGTGAAGTTTGTCAACACGCATTGGAGACTACTCCAAACCCAAAAATTACAGCGACCAATGCGAAGCTGTGGAAATTACTTATGAGTTAAGATTACCGGTATTATAAAAAAAATTGCTCGCACGCACATCAGAATAAATTTACGGATTCATTGCTTAAAAGTGATCAATGTTACATCGTCGGGACCGGTTTGGGAACAACCCAAAGTACCATTCACGATCATTTCACACGTTATAGCCCGTTTAGCGTTGTACAAACTCCCTGTTCGTACCTCTCTATTATTTGGTGCACTAATGCCTTGGGTAAACTTTACTCTCTGACCACCCGCGGTGCTCACGATACGGTATGGACTAAGGCTGCCTGTACATTTGATTTTAGACATGAAATTTTTTTAAGGAGTAAGTGTGACAAACGTTTGTCGTGTAATTGGGGGGTAAGAGAATAATGAGAAAGGTTTTCACCTCTGAGGGCTAAGATAGAATGCCTCATTAGCAGTGAAAAGATTCTCCAATTTTAGTCACTAACCATACGAAATTCCACAGAATTATCAGCTATTTTGAAATTGGTATTTCTGTACGAAAGTAGTCATCCCGGTCCAGTTCGATCCAATATGTTTGTGTCGCAGCTAAATACACTACCGTATGTCTCTACCACGTAGCAATATTATGTTCAACTCTGAGCAGTAGTAACATTATATTCCAGTTTTAAACGTCTGGAGCGAACTACAATTGTAGGTTGGAAGATTTATAACAGAAGCATCATTAGTTCATGAGTAGAAAGACATTGGATACATATTTTATAGAATAAGTGTGTCAAACGAGCACACAGTCCACCCGATGGATGGTAATTGATCCAAATTACTAGTGGAAAGGGTAATAACAAATTGCACCTAAGTTGTTGTTGCTGTTTATTAAAAAAAAAAAGTTCGGCGAAACTGTAAATACCTCCTGGCTAATAGCACAAACATGTCCTAAAAACTATAACACATTTGCCTATCGCCCGTTATAATTATTTGTCGAAGCGCTTACCGCTATCGTCAGCAACTATTGGATTATATTATATAAGTATTAGATATTATTAGGCCACGTTGCACACCATCAGGTGGCCTAGTTGGTACAATATTTGAATGATTTGAGAAAAAAGGTTTCAAGTTAGTGGCTCTTAAATTTATGTGGCCATCTGAAGAACTTCTACAGAAGCATTACAGTGACCTGTCTTCTAGACCTTTCTTCGCTGGACTTGTAAAGTACATGAGTTCTGGTCGAGTATTACCAATGGTATGAGAAGGACTTAATGTGGTGAAAACTGGTCGTCAAATGTTGGGTGCAACTAACCCGGCAGATTCTCAGCCTGGCACTATTCGTGGTGATCTCTGTGGCTCCGACTCAGTTGAAGCAGCTAACAAAGAAATCGCTTTATGGTTTACTGAAAAAGAACTCGTCGGATAGACACCGGGAGCTGAGAACTGGGTTTATGAGTAAATTATTTTATATTAATGTTAATGTAAAATATATTTTATGCTTGTAATTGTTCATTTCTATTGTGATAAAGAATAAAATTAATTTAATTAATTACCTGTCCACTACTGGAGACATTTATTTGGAAGGACTTGCGACAAATGTCATGCTTAGCTTTAATGTAGCCTTGAAATGCAATCGAATAAAACCTTGACAGTTCAGCGTCAATGGTGCGAGAAGTTTGGTACTGAGATCGTCAATTCACCTACCAAGGGCGGTGATACAGATAAATGCTCTTGACAACGGGAGCGTCCGATGTCCAGTAATGGACATATGCAGGCATATGAAGAAGAAGAGATGGTTGGACATGGACATTTATTGTAAGCCATTAGATCTTTTTAGGGCTTACCTTAGTCGGAAAGGAAGAAGAAAAGCTCGTTTACATATATCTTTCTAAGGAAAGTTCGAGAATTAGTTCCGTATAAGCCGCACTTGAACAGAACGCCTTAAGGTTATTAATCAATTAATATACAATTGGCCCTGGTCACGCCACTAGGAGTGCTAACAACCATCTGTATGAATCAAGCAAACACCTTTGTATACATGTCTACTGTTGCCTATTTACCTTTTGTATTAAAACTTTATAACGCTCTTCCCAATGCGGAATAAACACAGGCTACATGTTTCTTTAATTTTGTAAATGGTTGCGTTTATTAGTCATCGGAATGTTCATGCTGTAACTGCAATAAAATATACAGCATGAACTTTTTTGTGAAAACCTTTTGTACCTCAGTAGAAATTTTTCGAATCATGGAGGCGTTTAAAACATAAAATGCATATAGTAGACACACACCAAGACGGATAAAGGGTCGTCGGATACTTACTGGTCGAATCGAGCACACAGTATATTTAGTTGCGGCATGAATGGGTGGACTAGACCGAGGTTGAACCACGCTGTCAAAGATACAAGCGTGAAATAGCAGCTTAATTTTGTGTTTCGTATGGTGAGTGTAGATTACCACAGTCGCTTGTCAACCTGTCTCAATTTAAATTTTTAATCGAGGATAGATATTGAAATCTATGGTCGTCAGCATTCGCTTATTATTAGGTGAGCTGTGCTCGTTTTTCACCCTTATTCTATAAATAAAACGTCTGATAAGCTATTGAAGTATCAGACGTCAGATAAGCGACTGAGTATTTTAAGTCTGGCATAAACAAGATAGTTATACTGCTATCTATCGGAAGCCTTCGAGATCTTTCTTGGATTTCCCAAAGAGACTTCTCACCTCTTTTAACGGCCACGGGAGGGAATGATGGATTCTTTTAGGACATATTTTATAGATAGTACAAACAATGTAATGTCAAACCCTTGTACTAAAATCACTTTAATATAAATAAAATTATTCTATTCTATTCTATTTTACGCCAACAGCACAAACTACGGTATTATGTTATTTACATCACATTCTATAGATCTAGATATACAAATAAAACAGAACGGACTTAGTCTTCATTATCAAATCTACAATATGTCAGTCTCGATGTTTACCAACCGAGAAGCCACACAACATACACTGATCAATAATTTTCACTATCGATACTTTCGTATTATGTGGTGGACCTATGCCGCAGCTGTATTATGGATGTAGCTCAAATGCGTCAGTGTTACCAGCCAAAGGGTCTCTACCTCTCGTCACATAAATATAATACAAATAAAAGCAGCATTACGCTGCTTTACTACTCATAAAACGAGGTAATGTTCCACATTAGTTTTTAATCTTCAAAACGCTGAAGAAATCGGATTTTTTTTCTGCAATTAAAATCACTAACGTCAAGTGAAATACATACCTGCTAAGTTGTGATATTATTTAGATCAAGCTGACATTCATGAGAAGGCAGGCATCTTCTTTACGAGTAATAGTATATTTTTATTTTATTTTATTAAATAGGTTATAGTTCTGGGGTGAAGTAAGAACTCCATCCTTAAGGTTGGCGAAATAGGGGATGGCAACATACACATTAAAATTGTGATATATGTGCCTTACCGTTACCGTTACATCGTATTAAAGTACACTGCTGAACATAGGCTTCCCCCATAGATTGCCTCATAGGGGGGATATAAGATCCACCATTCAAAAGGGTAAATAAATGAAATTCATTTATTATTTTAGTTATTTGATGTCGTCTTTTACTATTTGTTAGAAGTTAGTTATTATTGTTGACGATTATGTTTAATGTTTTCGTTAGCATGTATATTAATAGCTAATAAATCTTAGTTTGCAGATCATATATTTAAGCACAGCTTTAATTTATTCTGACATTATGTTTTATAAAACAGCCTTTACTAACATTTTCAGCCACAGACCCCTATGAAACCAAGCGCAATTTAAAAAACCATTCTGAAGCTATATTAATAGTATAGTTGTAGCACGAATGGGTCGGCTTGACCGGGGTAGGACCACGCTCTCACAGAATACCAGCTTAATGCTGCTGTGTTTCATATGATGAGTGTAGAGAACCGGAGACCTATTTTATTGGAAAAGAATCATTTTATCTTAGTACTCACGGCTGACAACGCATCTGCATTTTAATTCGCAAACAAATATAGATGTAGATGTCTATGGGCCACAACAACCACTTACAATCAGGTGGACTGTGTGCTCGTTTGTAGCCCTATTCTATAAAAAAAATGGATATTGGGCTGAATCGCAATTGTTAATATTCGGGAAATTATTACACACACCAAACCATTTGCTTTAAAACTTTATTGTAGAATGGATCATCGAAATCGTCCACATGGAGAGCATTAGACATTAAACATAAGCCAATGAAATTTAAAATATTAGGAACTAAAAAAACCCACGAAAAATACATTAGCCATGAGCGGTGATGATCCAATTCACGTGAAAATACCAACGTTCACAGTCACAAAATTAATGTATTGTTATGATTTCTTATATTTACGCGAACACTACATATTGAATAAAACTATTTTTACGGATTTTATCGCGTTTAATTAACTTATTTTATATTCCCGACGTTTCGGTTGCTTACCAGCAACCGTGATCACGGGGGACTGAGGTGATTGACGTCCCGATGACAGTGTTAAACCGGAGTACCTTCAGCTTTTTTAATTAATATTTTTGGTCCGATCTACGCAGAACGAACTAACTGTGTCTTGCAGTCTTGCAGTGGTATGCTTGGGTTTAGTTTTAATTTTATGAATTACAGGATCCCAAGCAGGTGGTAGTACCCAGCCTCCCTCTCTATTGAAATTAGGATGTTTTTTAATTTCAATAGCCTCACGTATCATCCTTGGCAGGAATCGATGTTCTTTCGCGAGAATTTGTGGTTTATCAAATCTAATGTAATGACGGGGGCCGTCTAGGATATGATCACAAACTGCAGACTTCCCGTCGGGAATATAAAATAAGTTAATTAAACGCGATAAAATCCGTAAAAATAGTTTTATTAATGTATTGTTATTATGTAATTCATTAATTTATTCATTAATGTATATAAAAAGTTAACTAATGAACATAGGCAATTAAAGAAAGATATTTAAGCCTGTATCATTTCAGATTATTCAGACGTCCGGAAGTGGGTGAAAACTAAATTACAAAATTCTATTACACACATACATTGATACATAACGTCCTACAGATGATTTATTATTATTTATGTTTATTAATCTATGTGTTTATCAAACAATTATAAAAAGGGTTATTATAATATTAAGTAATTTATGGATGATAATAACCCCTGGGAATGAGGTGATCGCTGGCCGGTTGTAATGTACCTAAAATAACAAAGGAAGGCAACGAAGCCTTTATCGAGCTGTAAACTTTATCCGGGCTGCTGAAAGTAGTATGTCGTGCTCCTAAAAAAATCTTACCAAAGCACGAAAATGGAATATAAGTATGTAGCAAATATTTATAGAAAATAATTGTTACACAATATAAAAGGCGTTTGAAAACTAGCTCGGTCCTTTGTGTTCCATACATTGCCAGCGATGTACTCTTCACGCATCCCTGTCATAAATACCAACGATCGAAACGTAAATATAAGAAACAAAGCGGTACACACGTATAAAAGGGCCTACATCTCTTAATGATATGTAGATTCCCTGCATTAGTTACATGGCTGTGTTCACAGTGAAAACATCTCGCAAACTTGCTGCTATATACATTTCACGTATATTCTATTAAACTACATGCTAAAATACGCCTTATTTAAACAAATGTACGCTTATAATAGTGTATCGTGCGCTTGGATTTAAAATCTTTTTATTTGAATCACATTCCGGCTCATTAAACAAGACATAATTTAAATCTATCCTGCTTAAAGTACGCGAATTGGAAATTAAATTAAAAGGTTTATTAAGTCCTATATTAAATGGCGCGTACAAATAAAGTTATTACTCTCTGGTTTTGAAATTAAAAGTTCGTGCTCTTAAAATACCATATCAATTTAGTCTTAACCTGCTAACAATTAAGGTGCAGTTTGAACTGATTACAAGAGGAAATTGAGACATTAGAAATCTCCGAGCGGCTATTACCGTGTTCTTTAAACAAATGCACGACGGCGAGCGGAGTAAGATGTAACTTTGTGCCGACGTGCATAAATAAGGCCTGAAGAAGTATTGGTTATTTTAATACCGATGCCCCAGGTGGGCGTAGACCCCTCATATATCATCGGCCACAATTATTAAATTATCTTTTTCGTTGACATTAAGTAATTGTTTTGGCTGGACCGCGCTCATGGCGTGCAGTTGATGAGATATGGCTTTTAAATTGTCGTTTAACATACCTAAAATCCTTTGTTCGGAAATATTTTCTTTGTAAAATTATGTTGTATTCACCGAATAGGTATACAATTAATAACAATGTAATTATTTCCCTATAAGAAATTCTATTAGAGAAGTGGTCACAAAATCGAATCAATTTGATTGTACCTTATCGTTTAATGGAAATACATTAGTAATAGCATTT